AAACTTCAGGAAAACATTGGGCAAGGTGTGGAACAATTGAGGAACACCGAGCCCCCTCCCCAACGAAAAGGGTTCCTTCTTCAGTGCCCCGACTGCCCCGACTGTACCCATTCCGTTCGTGCAGACCAGAACGCCCAGAGATGCTTCCAGGGCAGGCCGGCTCCACCCCGAGACGGTCCAGGACGCCCTCCGCCAAGAGGGGGCGTGTTGCCGCTGGCGTCTGAGAGGCTCGGGCGTCCGAGCTCGTCGTGGCCTCCTGGAGCCTCACGCGACCTCAGAGGCTTCCACGAGGGCCCCAAGACGACCCAAGACTGGCCATCGCTCGGACGTCCATTTCCTGTGTTTATTTCGCTTTCGTGCGTGTTTTTTTTCGCAAATTGATCAGGGATGCTCCTCGATGGTCGTCGCCGAAGGAAAAATGCACACGTCCGAGCGATGCCAAGAAGAGGCCTTAGAGGGCCCCAAGACAATCCAAAGAGTCCCAGGACGGCCCACGAGGCCACCGAGGCAGCCCAAGAGGCCCTCAAGACGGCCCCAAGAAGGGCACAAGGAGCCCTCTGGGGCCAAGAAAGCCCCCGAAACGGCCAGCAAGATACCAAGAGCTGCTATGTTTCGTCTTCTGCGTGTGAAATTCATACTGGCATTCGTCGACAAACTCCTCCTCCTCCTCCTCCTCCTCCTCCTCCTCCTCCTCCTCCTCCTCCTCGTCCTGTCTTGTGGGCCCCCTTGTTCTTCCTCCCCCAAATGTTTCCCCAGGCGATTCAAAATGATTGGGGGAAGCCCATAAGATTGGCCAGGTTTTGGCACACCGCTTGGCCGCATAGGCGCTTCCAAAACGCATGGGGCGGCGGCGGCTCGCCGCAAGCGTATTTGCGATATGTAAATGTAGAAAACTCACGCACACACGCACATACACGTACGTATAGACGTGAGTCCTGACAGACACGCATACAGAACATGCATATGTAAAATGTGCGGGGGGGGGAGGGCGCACCTATGTATATGGATGCACATGGACATACACCTATACACCCATCTGCACATATATCACTCGCACCTCGGAGCGCACCCCAGGGCAGCCCAGGCAAGCCAGGCTCGAACAGGGCACGACATAATTCAACCAGGGACTGGGCAGACCTCCTGATACTCCAGATTTCGTAATAAAAGGGAGGGGGTCTGGACCCTCCAAGACAAGTCATTTCAGACCTCCCCCGTGGGAGAACCCTCCAAAACGTCGTCCCCAGACCCCCCAGGCCCCCCAAGATAGCCTGGAAGAGACCCCCCCCGAAATGAGCCCCCCCTCCCTGTATGACGAAATCTGGAGGAAGCAAGACGTGCAGCGTGAAGGAGAGAGAGAAGCGGGCAACGCACGAGGCGGGAGGCACGTGCGGGACGTCCGAGGGGGGGGGGGGGGGGGGGGGCGCATCGCTGGACAGGCGCGCGGGCGCCCGCCGCGGCAGGCAACAGCAGGGCGGAAGGCGTGGAGGGCATCGCTCCCTTCTGGCTGTCCAACTCTAGAGGTGCCCAGGGACACACAGCGAAAATTCACACAAATCCCAAGATTCAGTTTTTCTTGATTTCTGGAATCTCGCCTTCCCCCCACTTCCCATGTGCTCCCGTGTCATCGGAGTCGACGATGAATTGTGTCTGCGTGATTTTGTTCCCCTCCTGATGATGTCATCTGCGTTGCTGATTCTGTCAGGCCATCAATGTCACATGCATCCAGATTCCTGGTACAAGGCAGACAAGACGGCGTCCACTGCGAGAGCTGTGAAGCTTGTCTGGGCGACGCTGGTGGCATCGCAGATGGGGAATGATGGAGCACACGAGACAGGCAACGGCCTCACGGCGGCGTCGAAAGAAGCGACAGGAGCGAATCTACATATGTCCTACCAGCATCGTACTTTTGACAAGGAGGAACGAACAAGACAGGAAGGACGAAATACTGGGCTAGCGCAGACGCTGGTCGAGGCCAGGATGGTCTGTGCACCATCCTTGGACCCAGGATTCGAGAAACGCAGAAACGACGCAAACACTATTATTTCCTAGGTCCACGCATGGCTTCCTGGGTCGGCGCTGGGCCCCTCCTCCCTGGGCGCGCGTTTAGCGCGCCAGAGGTGCCGCCGAGAGGGGCCCGGCGCCAACTCCAAGAGCTCCACGCGGCCCTCCGCAGATGCGTGTTGTACAGTTCCCTCGTCTGCGAAAGACTGTCCTGGCCAGGCGTGGTGGTCCAAGGCCGGGCTAACGGCGATGCTGCTTCACGGTGATGTTGGGGACCAAAGCGTAGCAAATCACGAGCCACACTTTCCTGCATTTCCTAACTGCGAATGGATCGAGCTTCCTAACTGCGAATGGATCGAGCGAGCCACGCGCTCCCACACTACCGAAACCTGCATCGCCGTTAGCCCGTCCGTCTACGGGTTGTGGAGCGCGGATGCGCGCTGCGGAGAGGGAATGCCGGCCCTTTGATACGCAAGCGGGCGTGCACAGCCGCCCCCCGAGCGCGAGCGTGCCCGCACGCCAGGGAAGGAACGCGCGGCGTCGGCGTCGACCTCTGCCGCGCCTACGCTGGCGACGCACAAGACAGGGCCCCGGGCAACGCATGGCCCCTTGGCAGGATGTAGGGGTTCGCATTCGTTCTTGGAGGCTCTCTCGCCCAGGTGTGCCTTCCAGCAGCGGCGCCTCGCCCGGGGCGTCCCTGGGGCGCCCGGCTCGCCCCGAACGGCCGCGCGCCCGGGACCCGAGCTGAGCCAGGGCACCACCAGGGGCGCGGGGCAACGAGCGACCTCTGAGTGCGCAGCCCACCGATCGCTTTTTGCGTGCGATGCGACAGAGGCGGCCACAGTGCGAGGGCTTGGCCCCTCCGCGGCCCCCTGGAAGCCGCGCACTGAGTCCCTCCGACCAGGGGTCCCACTCTTACTGAAGGGGCCCTGAGCCACACAAATAAGTACACACACATAAAACGATTCCCAATATTTTCCCATAGTATCGGGGTTTCTGTCTCCCCCCCCACTTGCCATATTTTCCTAAGGAGTTTCCTGGGAGTCGACGATTCATTGTGTCTGTGTGCTGTTTTCCCCCTCCTGACTTACGTGTTGCCAACCGCTGCCCCTCCACGGGGCGCGGCCGTGCCTGGGAACGCACACGGGCCATGGGACCTGCCTTCGCGCCTCGCCCCTCGCGCCCCGCAGCTACCTTCGCGTCCCGCATCCGCCTTCGCGCCCCTGCGCCGCCCCTTTGGAGGAGGGCAGCTCCGCGGCCCCGGTAGAGGAAGGAGAACTGTGCACATGCACCGATCCTGACAACGCCCATCCTTGACCCAGGATCGGTGCGTATACCCTCCTGGCCAAGGCAAGAGGGCGTATGCACCGATCCTGGGCGCAGGATGGTCTTGGCCAGAATCGGTGTATGTGCATAGTTCTCTTTCCTCTACCCTGGGGGGTGATCTTGACAGCCCCTGGGGGTTGGTCGCGGCTGGCTTCCAGGGGCCCTCCGGGCAGCCCGGCGCGGGCGGTCTCAGCACCGCCCCGACAGGCACCGCCAGAGGCAGCGCAGGGGTCCCGAGACCGCCCTGGGCTGCCCTGGGGGCCCGCTGTGGCGGCAGCCGCGGCCATCTGCGACAGCACCTGCTGGCTGCCTGCGCGCACCCTCAAGCCCTGCCCCGTCGGCCCTACACCCCTCGGGCTACGCGCAAGAGCCCCCCGGCGGCCCGGCCCCCATCAGACCCACCCGCCCCCGGAGTCAGCGGCAGCGGCGGCGTCGTCCATGAGCTCGTCCTCCTCGCAGTCTTGCGGGGGGTCCCACTCCTCCGGCAAAGCGGGCGCTCGCCTCCTCGAGGCCCTCATCTCGTCTCTCTTTTTTTTGTTCTCTCTCTCTCTCTCTCTCGCTCTCTCTCTTTCTCTCTCTCTCTCTCTCTCTCTCTCTCTCTCTCCCTCTCCCTGCCCACGACGACGACGGCGACGGCGATGGCGACGGCGACGGCGACGGCGGTCGTCGTCGTATTCGTCGTCGTCGTCTTCGCCGTCGTCGTCGTCGTCGTCAACGTCGCCGTCGTCGTCGTCGTCGTGGTTCGTCGTCGGTGCCCTCGCCATCGCAGTCGGTGCTCCCAGAACTCGCGCTTCGAGCTTGTTCACAGCGTGGACCCTGCAGAGGTCTTGGCCAATTCCTGGGGCTGCCTTTTCATCCCGAGTAGTTGTTCAACGACCCTGGGGACCTGACGAGAAACCCCAAATGCAGAAAATTGCCAAGAACCTCCAGTCGCGATTTTTCAACGACGGGGGAGGAAGGGATTTCTGACTTGCTCTCTCTGTCTTTGCTTCTCGCAGTCGATAATGTCGTCGTCGCCGAGGCCGCCGAGGCCGCCGTCGTCGTCGGTCGCTGCCGCGGCGGCGGCGACAGCGACGACGCCGCCGCCGTCGTCGGTGTCCTCGCCGTCGCAGCATGGCGGGACAGGAAAACATCGATACCACTACTCCCTGGACCCCTCCCAGTGCGCATCCTCACCAAAAGTTCGAAGGGAATCCAGCCTCGATGACCCTGAGATCCTACGCTGCGGGAAACGTCTAACATCTCGAGATAGACCCCATCTGTCTGCGACACTGTTAGGGCCAGCACGATCTGTGAGGGCCCCTGGGTCCGAAACTGGGCGAAAATACCGGGCTCGCAAACAGTGCCACGCCAGTATCTCAGGGGCGGCATCGGTATCCGCTACTCCTCTGGGTGTCTAGGGGGCAAACAAACCTACCTCGCTTTTGACCATCCTCGCTTCCAAGAGATACCAAGCGATGCCAAACTATGGCCTGTACTGGTCAGGCCGCTTGACGAGGAGGCGCGTGGTATGACTTGGTTTTGCCTGGAAGCGAAAGCGAGCTAGGTAATTCACGCTCTGGGTGTCGCCGCAGCCGTTGCCGCTGGCCGCTGCCACTGCGGCGGCGGCGGCGTCTCGGGCGGGGCGCGGCGGCGGCGGCGCCTCGCCGTACTCCTCCGGCGCGGGGGGCTCCTCATCGAGGCCGTCGTCGGGCTCCTCCGCCTCCTCGGCGCCCGCAAGGGGCTGCCACGCACCGGGGGCGACGGCGGCGACGGCAACCACGATGACGACGACGACGACGACGACGACGACGACGAGGACGAGGACGACGAGGACGAAAAGGACGATGAGGACGACGACGGCGACGACGAGAACGAGGACGAGGACGAGGACGGCGAGGACGAGAAGGCGAAGACGAGGACGAGGACGACGAAGATGATCCAGATTTCCGATGATAATACCGTCTCAATCCAGGCACTGCTCCGTCCCTTTGCTGCGCCGCCAAAATATGTCCATACCCACTGCCACGGGGTCGTGCTCCAGTGACTCGGGGAGCGGTGGATATGGACACCTGCCCGCCCATCCGGGCGGGCAGATATCCATGTCCGCCACTCCCCAGGATCGCAGAGCACGGTTCTGAAGCAGTGGATCTGGAAACACTCTGCCAGTGGACTTCCTAGGGGGGCCCCAGACCGTGCGGTGGCATCGGGATCCCCCGAGGCCTCTCCGCGCGGTCAGTCACAACGCACCGCTCAAAGGCCTCGGGGGCGCCTGTTGCCCAAGACGTCCTCGGAGAATGAACCAACTTTCCTCAAAGCGCGCGGCCACCACGAGCCCGCATGGCCGTCGTCGTGGTCGTGGTCGTGGTCGTGGACGTGGTCGTCGCCGTCGTCGTCGTCGTCGTCGTCGTTGTCGTGGTCGTCGTGGTCGTCGTGGTCGTCGTGGTCGTCGTGGTCGTCGCCGTCGCCGTCGCTCACCACGCGGTGTGGTCACCACACTGTTTGGGGGCCCCCCCTCTGCTTTCTCCCTGGGCCCCCCCTCGCCCAGCGGCTGTCCTGGAAGGCGCGCTCGTCCTCGTCCTCCTCGTCCGGCTGGGGGGCGGCTGCTGGTGCCGGGGCCGACCGACCCGTCGCCTCCGCCTGGCGGTTGCGCGCGGGCGCGCCTCGTCCTCGCACCCGACCTCCTCGTCGTGTTCGCGCTTGTCCTCGCCCGCCTCCCCGTGTTCGCCCTCGTGCCCTTCCATGGGCTCGCCGTCGTCCCTCGCCCCCCCCCTGCCAGCATCCCCATGCCTTCTCCGTCCCTACGTTGTCTCCCGTCTCTAAGGGGAACAAACAATGACATAAACAAAGAAACTAGGAGGTCCGCGAACATTCCTCGGATCGGCGCCGAACCCCCCCTCCCTGGCGCGCTCCGCGCGCCAGGGGCGGCAACCGAGGCGCCGCCAGGGGGCCCCAGCACCGATCCGAGGAATCCGCGCGGATGCGGCGATGTTCTGCTTATGTCGTTGTGTGTTCCCTGAGCCGCACATCCCCATCTGAACGGGCGAAGAACAGTATAACATATTTGTTTCGCTGTCGGGGGCGCCTGTCCTTGGACGGCTGGAAAGTTTATACCCTTGCGGTGGCACCGTAGGGGTCTAAACTTTCAAGCCGCCCAGGGACAGGCGCCCCCGACAGCGAAAACAAATATATATGTTATACCGTTCTTCGCTCGGTGACCATCTTCCCTCTGCTCCTCGCCCTCCTCGTCGCCCTCGTCCTCGCGGCCGCTCGGCACGGGCCCGCTCCCTCGACAGCGAGTTCGGGAAAGCACGGGCCCGGGCCTCCGACGACGGGGGGCCGGGACAGGTCGAGCGGCGGCAGCAGAGCAGGGGCGGGGAAGGCCCAGCAGGCGAGGAAAAAATCCTGAAGGGGCCCACAAGCACACGTAAATACACACAAATCCCAGGATTCCCCATCTGTGTCCATATTTCCATACCGTCACTGGAATCGACGATCAGTTGTGTCTGTGATAGGTCCCCTCCTGTAGTCTTTCCGCGCCCATGAACTGATATGCGCGTGGAGACTCACATCGCGTTGGCGCTCCTTTCTCCGGGGGCCGACGGGGGGGAGGGGCCAACTCCAAGCGCGCCAGCCAGTGTTCCAGGGGGGGCCCCGTGTGGGTCTGCACCGCAGGTCGCCTTGGCAAAAGGGCCCCCAGCCTGGTCGAGGTCGGCGCTGGACCACCCCTCCGTGGCGCGGGGGCGCTCCCCCAGGGGGGGAGGCGCGGGAGGCGCCGCCGGGAGGGGTCCAGCCCCAGAGATCCGTGCGAAGCTTCGACAGCTCGTGTACATTATCCTGTTGGGCTACGGTAAGTTCGTGCAGGGTCGGCGCGCGAAAAAGTTTTTTTGGCACAAGGCCGTTCGTTCAACCTTGCATCGATCGCAAACCCGATCGTTCAAGGTTGGATTCCGTCAGGTCCTGTGGCGTTACCCTGCGCCTCGGTGTTTCTGCATCGCTCCTCTACCCATGTGGAATTCAACCTCGAACGCCTTCGCAGACGTCGCTGGCGCGTCACCGTTGTATGAGAGGCCTTACCGTATCCCCAGGACCAACGTTGAGTCCTGCGCCGGTTTTTCCGCAGGTCCTGCGGGCCTGGGCCCCGCAGGGCCCGTGAAAGTTCGAGGATGGCCAACATATCCTGACGACCTACCAGACCACCCCAACCCAACCCGAAGACCCGAATTTCGGGTTGGGGGGGTTAAGGGTTCCACAAGTGTTTTTCAATGTTTCCCGACCCCCCCCCCCCATTAGAAATCGAGGGTAAATCTGAACCTTCGGGTTGGGTTGGGGTGGTTTGGTGGGTGGTGATATCCAGGACCCGGCCCCCTCGGGCCCGTGTCCTTCGTGCCGGCATGAGCAGAGGGGACCTGGGCCTGGTGTCCATCGAGCCACAACTCTGGCCCCTGGCTGGCGCTCGGGACGATGCGGGCGCCCCCGCCACGCCCTCGGCGAGGCGCAGCTGCTGGAGAACATCCCAAAGCGAGAAAACTTCAGAGATTCAGTGACAACTGCCAGGCATTTCCTGCGGCAGTCTGTTCGGCGCCGCCTCTGCGCGGCGCCAGCGTTGAACGGGCAGTTTTGGCGGCGGCAACCGCGTGGCCAGGGCGTCCCGCTGCAGGGGTCGTTCGGCCGTCCTCGCCAGGGCGCCCAACTCCGCAAAAGAAAATACCCTGGCACGCAGACGCCGACACTTCTGTGGCCCCCATAAATCCCACCCCCCTTTCCCAGGGGGCAGTGTTTTGTCCCGGATCCGAGTCCGATGGCCCCCGGGCCCGACCACCGGCCCCCGAGGCCGACGTCGAAGCGACACGCCATGTTTGGGGAGGCGGAGAGGAGCCGATACGGCTGGACTAATTCCCGGACCTCTTCGGGGATGCCTTCGGACCAGAATTTCTGGGCGAATCCAGCCAGGGCGACGAGGGAAGGGGGGCAGCGACGAGTGAAGCCAACATTGCAGTCCAGCTTTGTGGAGTTTCTCAGTGCTGGTGCGAGGGCCAGCTGCCCAGCCTCAAGGGATTCACGTGGCGGGTGAAGATGTTCTTCTGAGGGTGTAGGGGTATCGTTAGAGGTCCTCCCGAGCTGCCTGGCGAGGCTTCCCCTCCTCGGCGAAACCCACCCGCTGCTGCGGCGCCCACCCATGGCGGCCGAAGTGAGGCGCCTGCACCACGTGCAGCCCCTCGAAGCCGTGCAAGGCCGTCATAGCCTGCCGGCTCGCTGTCGTCTTCGTCGCGAGGTCTTCGTCGCGTCGTCTTCGGCGCGTTGTCGCCTCCGTCGCATCGTCGCGTCGTCGCCATCGTCAAGTTGTCGTCTTCGTCGCGTTGTCGTCGTCGCTTTCGTCGTCGCCGCGAGGCGTCGCTGAGGCGCGTTGACACATGTGGTTGGACGCTTCTGGCCCTGTCGGGGACTCGTGGGGCCTCCGGGGAGCGTCCAGGGACCTCCGGAGGCGATGGTCGTCGTCGTCGTCGCGGACCTCTGGGGGGCGCCTGGGGACCTCCAGAGGCGATCGTCATCGTCGCCGCTATCGACGCCGTCGCTTGTCGTCGCCGTCGATCGTCGTCGTCGTCTTTGTCTCCGCCGCGGTCGCTCGTCGTCGCTTGCCGTCGCTCGAGGTTGCCACGGTCGTCGCCACCGTGACCGCCGACTATGCTGCTCGTCGCCGCTCGTCGCCGTCGTCGTGGCCGCCACCGCCGTCGTCGCAGTCGTCACCGTCGTCAATCGTCGTCCTCTCTCGTCGTCGTAAGCGCCGTCGTCGTCCCCGACCATCCCCTCCTCTCCCTCGCTCCCTCCTACTTGCTGTAAGGAGCTGTTGCGTAGCGTGTCGCGGCAGCGGCACTTGCGACACGCTATGCCGTGCAAGCTGCTAGCGTGTCGCTCCGCTTCTTGGGACGGGGGGACTGGGCAAAACTCGGACCGTGTATGCCTGGGGACTGGGGCGTGGTTTGCGCGTCGCGCAGAAGGGTTGTTTACCTCCCCCACTCATGATCATCCGCCCCATCTTCCTCTCGTTGAGTTTCCCTGCCCATTTTGCAAAGAGCTGCGATTTTGAACACAGAACTCAATTTCAACGAGAACGCCGTGCCGTTGCGTGTAAAAGCTGGCGTCAGGTTCGGCTTCAGGGAGAACTGCGCGTTGATTGAAATCGAACTCGACGTGAAAACGAAGTAGTGCCTCGCCTTTGTCATCATCCCCCTCGTCGTTCTTATCGACGTGGCCGTCGCCATCGGTCGTCGCATCCTCTTCCTCCTTATCATATGCCTCCTGATCCCACGACCTCCCGTACTCCTCTCCTCATCTCATTTCCCTCTCCTTCTTTCCCTCCCTCTCTTCTCTCTCCCATTATTCACCCCTTCCTCCCAATCCGAATCCTCCTCTCATCTGATACGCTACATCCCTCCCTCCCCTTCCAGTTGTCCTCGCCTTGTCCACCTTGTCCTCTTTCCCTCCGACCACCCGTACACTGCATGGGGCAACGCGTACTAAGGTCAGACTGGCACGATTCAGTACCAGAGGCGTGATCCGCCGTGGCCCAGCGCCTTCTCCTCCCGCACCCCTTCCCCCCTGCCCACACCTCCCTCCCTCCCTGCCTTCCTCGTGCCCCTGCCTCCCCCCCACTCTCCCCCCTCTCGGGATCTTGGCAGGGCCGGCCTCGGACCACAGCTCCCTCGGCGAGGGGTCCAAGTCCAGCAGCCCCAACCACAATCCTCCTCCTCCCTCCTTTTCCTGTCCTCCTCCTTCTCCTCCTCCTCCTCCTCCTCCTCCTCCTCCTCCTCCTCCTCCTCCTCCTCCTCCCCCTGGGGCCGACTTGGGGCACCTCAGGGGCTCCCGACGACCCGGAGAGGGGGGATCAGCACAGCGGCCGATCCGCTCATGACGAGGCCCAAACCGCCCAAAAGGCCCAAACCAACGTCTGGGGGGCGGAGGGCGCCAGCCTGGAGCGGGAAACACCGCCAGGCGGGCTCCAGGGCTACGCCGAACGGAAGCCAGAGTCGGCCGCACACTGCCGCCCCGACCAGCGGGACCGCAGCGCGCGCCTTCCCCCCCGGCGCGCCGCCCAGAGGCCTCGCGGCGCCGAGTGTCTCCAGCGTGGCGGCGGCAAGGCGAAGCCTGAAGACACCAGTAAAGGGTTCCAGGGAAACAAATCAAAGGCAGCAGCGTGGAATAGGGATTCCCCGCTGCAATGTCCCGGCGGAGAACCGCGGGCCACGCGGGGGCTCGTCGTCGGGCCCTCCGCCAGTGGCTCCTCCTTCTTCTCCTTGTCGTCCCCCGCCCCCTGCCCCCCCCCAGCCCATCCCCCTGCTGTTGCTCAGTCTTCCTCCTCGCCCTCGTCGTCGTCGTCGTCCTGGTCGTCGTCGTCGTCGTCGTCGTCGTCGTCCCCCTCCTCCTCGGCATCCATTTCCACCCCCTCATTGTCCTCCTCCTCCTCCTCCTCTTCCTCCTCCTCCTCCTCCTCCTCCTCCTCGGCATCCGTCTCCTCCTCATTGTCCTCCTCCCCCTCCTCACCATCCTCCTCCTCCTCCCCCTCCACTTCGCTCCTCCTCGCCATCCTCGTCCTCGCACTCGCCCTAGCCCTCCTCCCCTCCTCCTCCCCCCTCCTCCCCGATCACCCCCCCTCCCCCTCCTCCCCCTCGTCCCTCTCCTCCCCCTCCTCCTTCTCCTCCTCCCCCCTTCCTCCCCTCACCAGTGTCGTAGGGGTCGACGAGCGTGGCCGAAATGTGGCTGAGGCAACTCCACTTGCCTGACTCCCCAGGGAGGAACGATCAGAAAGAGGGTGCACTCGAATGCGCGACGACCTTGCGCGGTGGTTCACGCAGGCCGCTTGCGCGGCAGCACCGTAACAGCGCCTACGCGCGACCTTACGAGGGCGGCATACGCGCGAGTGCCCGCGCAATCGACCCCCTTGAAACCCTGCGGGGGGCAGTCCCACGAGCATGCCGAAATGTGGCTGAGGCAACTCCACTCGCCTGAACCCCCCCCGGGAGAAACGATCAGAAGGGGGGTTGCACTCGAATGCGCGACGACCTTGCGCGGTGGATCACGCAGGCCGCTCGCGCGGCAGACCGCGTCACCGTAACAGCGCCTACGCGAACTTACGAGGGCGGCATGCGCGCGAGTGCCCGCGCAATCGACCCCCTTGAAACCCTGCGGGGGGCAGTCCCACGAGCGTGGCCGAGATGTGGCTGAGGCAATTCCACTCGCCTGACCCCCCAGGGAGAAACGATCAGAAGGGGGGTTGCACTCGAATGCGCGACGACCTTGCGCGGTGGATCACGCAAGCCGCTCGCGCGGCAGACCGCATTAAGGCGCCTACGCGCCACCTTCCGCGGGCAGCTTACGCACAAGTGCACGCGCAATCGACCCCCTTGAAACCCTGCGGGTGCGCCCTCCCGCGGGCGCTTTGAAATGTGTCGCCCGGTTGCGGTTGCGGTTGCGCCCTCCCGCGGGCGGGTTGAAATGTGTCGCCCGGTTGCGGTTGCGGTTGCGGTTGCGCCCTCCCGCGGGCGGGGTGAAATGTGTCGCCCGCTTGCGGTTGCGGTTGCGCCCGCGGGCGCTTTGAAATGTGTCGCCCGGTTGCGGTTGCGGTTGCGGTTGCGCGCTCCCGCGGGCGCTTTGAAATGTGTCGCCGGGTTGCGGTTGCGGTTGCGCGCCCGCGGGCGCTTTGAAATGTGTCGCCCGGTTGCGGTTGCGGTTGCGGTTGCGCGCTCCCGCGGGCGCTTGAAATGTGTCGCCCGCGGTTGCGGTTGCGGTTGCGCGCCGCGGGCGCTTTGAAATGTGTCGCCCGGTTGCGCGCTCCCGCGGGCGCTTTGAAATGTGTCGCCCGGTTGCGGTTGCGGTTGCGCGCCCGAGGGCGCTTTGAAATGTGTCGCCCGGTTGCGGTTGCGGTTGCGGTTGCGGTTTCGCGCTCCCGCCGGCGCTTTGAAATGTGTCGCCTGGTTGCGGTTGCGGTTGCGCGCCCGCGGGCGGGTTGAAATGTGTCGCCCGGTTGCGGTTGCGGTTGCGGTTGCGCCCTCCCGCGGGCGCTTTGAAATGTGTCGCCCGCTTGCGGTTGCGGTTGCGCCCTCCCGCGGGCGGGTCGAAATGTGTCGCCCGGTTGCGGTTGCGGTTGCGCCCTCCCGCGGGCGGGGTGAAATGCGTCGCCGGGTTGCGGTTGCGGTTGCGCCCGCGGGCGCTTTGAAATGTGTCGCCCGGTTGCGGTTGCGGTTGCGGTTGCGCCCTCCCGCGGGCGGGTTGAAATTTGTCGCCCGGTCACGGTTGCGGTTGCGCTCGCGGGCGCTTTGAAAGGTGTCGCCTGGTTGCGGTTGCGGTTGCGGTTGCGCGCTCCCGCGGGCGCTTTTAAATGTGTCGCCCGGTTGCGGTTGCGGTTGCGCGCCCGCGGGCGCTTTGAAATGTGTCGCCCGGTTGCGTTTGCGGTTGCGGTTGCGCGCTCCCGCGGGCGCTTTTAAATGTGTCGCCCGGTTGCGGTTGCGGTTGCGCGCCCGCGGGCGCTTTGAAATGTGTCGCCCGGTTGCGGTTGCGGTTGCGGTTGCGCGCTCCCGCGGGCGCTTTGAAATGCGTCGCCCGGTTGCGGTTGCGGTTGCGCGCTCGCGGGCGCTTTGACATGTGTCGCCCGGTTGCGCGCTCCCGCGGGCGCTTTGAAATGTGTCGCCCGGTTGCGGTGCGGTTGCGCGCCCGCGGGCGCTTTGAAATGTGTCGCCCGGTTGCGGTTGCGGTTGCGTTGCGCGCTCCCGCGGGCGCTTTGAAATGTGTCGCCCGGTTGGGTTGCGGTTGCGCGCCCGCGGGCGCTTTGAAATGTGTCGCCCGGTTGCGGTTGCGGTTGCGGTTGCGCCCGCGGGCGCTTTGAAATGTGTCGCCCGGTTGCGTTTGCGGTTGCGCGCCCGCGGGCGCTTTGACATGTGTCGCCCGGTTGCGGTTGCGGTTGCGGTTGCGCGCTCCCGCGGGCGCTTTGAAATGCGTCGCCCGGTTGCGGTTGCGGTTGCGGTTGCGCCGCCGGGTTGCGCTCCCGCGGGCGGTTTGAAATGTGTCTCCCGAGCTGTCCCCTGACGTTCAGTCAGTCATCAGTCAGCCGGCGGGCGCGGAATTTCACCCGGCTCCGCCGGGAATCATGGCTGGATTGGGGCCCAACTCTTTGGCTCGAACGCTCTTGCCAGCCTCTTGACACAGAAACGCACGTTGGCCAATGTCCAAGATTTTTTCCTGAGGTCCTAA